AACAGGTAATTAGACCTATATATTTAGTTTTAAGTGCATAACTATACTACTATATTAAAGTTTAGATCTTTCTGAAGAGATTGGTTTTTATTTTAATGTTCTAGGATTAGTAGAACCAGAGATATTTAATTTAACGTAGAGCTCTGAAATCGCTGAAAACGGGCATTCGACTAACAAAAAAATGGCCGCCATACAGTAGAAAAATTAAATAAAAATAAAATAATTGTATTTTTGTACTTCTAATGATATGTACTTTTAAGGATAAAAATATGAAAAAAATTAAAAATCTTGAAGCAACCAATTAAATTATTTCTGGACCACTTGATATGGATTGACCCCTATGGATTTGGTGTTGCCTTACTTTAAACACATCGTATTGAAAATAATAAAAATTATTAGATAAGTCATTATAAAAGTGTATAATCATAGCCAACTTAAAGATAATAAAAACACTCGTAAAAGGAATGTTAAGATAACGATGTTTCTATTCTTTCTCTTTGCTTTGTTCTTCTATTTTTTTCTTTCTTAGGTTTTTCTTCATCCAAAAATTGTACGTACAATTCACCATATTTACTTATCACCCAATCACAGCTTACTACACATTACGTCATCAGTCCTCAGTAAATGAAATCAGTTCTCAGTTGTAACATAGCGCGCATGCAGCGGCGACAGCAGACGGCAGACAGCGATGTGTTAAACTGGAGCAGACCAATGTTAGCGCGAGCGATGACGTCACCTTTCCATTTCATTTGATGAAGAAACTGATTTTTCAAAAACAATAATGGGGTGGGGGGTTCGTTGTATTGAGGGAGAGACACAGACAATTTGTTAAGTAGAGGTTAAATTCGCTATGTAGAGGTTCTGACAATGATAAATTCGTTATATTGAGGTGTCTTATTTTAGCCGGGATCATGAAAAATTCGTTAAATCAAGGTCGTTGATATGGTTTGTTCGTTATGTAGAGGTAAAACATACATTGTGTCTTATGGAGAGTTTTATGGGATTCAAAAAATTCGTTATATCAAGGAATTTGTTATATCGAGGTTTGTTATATCAAGGTTAGACTGTATATATATATATATTTGGCAGTGATAAACTCAGACACCGCTGAGCCGATTGCTGAAACTTGCTACATACGTGTAGAATTTCATGGAATAGGTTTATATACACCATCAATTTCGTGATCCGTCCAATCGGCTCCGCCCCAGTGGCTCTGGAGTTTCCCATGTTAACCTTATGAGAAATGGAATTAATGAATCTTAACAGCTGTTTCAATTAAACAAGTTGGTTCTGTTCTATGATGTTCAATAGCATTAAAGTTACAAGGATTACCAACAGGGTGCAGCACTATTATTTCTTTTACATTTATGACAACAGCTAATTTGCAACCAAAAGGTGAGTGAGCATAGCGAACGAACTTCAACCTGGAGGCGAGTTAGCGTAGTGAACGAGCTAACCTGAAGGCAAGTGAGCGTAGCGAACGAGCTAACCTGAAGGCAAGTGAGCGCAGCGAACGAGCTCCAACCTAAAGGTGAGTGAGTGTAGCAAACGAGCTCCAACCTAAAGGTGAGTGAGCGTAGCGAACGAACTTCAACCAGGACGTGATTGAGCCATGCGAACGAGATCATCTTGAAAATTAAAAAGTTAAACGCCCGCGGGTTACAGCTAGTAATAGATAAAAATTAACCGATTTTTGTCAAGTTTTACCACCTGCTGTGCGCTATGTTACAAAAGCTGATAACGACATGGGTGATTAGTAACCATGGCAACTAGGCAACTTGTTGAATGCGTGATGAAGAAAACCTCAAGAAATCGAAGAACAAAGAGGAAGTATAATGACGTTGTTATCTTTATACCCTTTTTACAATTGCTGTTATTTTTCTTATCTTTATGTAAGATTTTATGATTTTGTTTTATAGGTTTATAAAATCATTCTTTTTAACTACGGGAATATCAATTTATAATTTATCAACATGCTTCTCTTTGAAACAGCAATACCGGATGCATAATAAAGGTCAATGGCCTAAAATATCATGATTGTGCAATATTGTATTTTGATGTTGAAATTCAAATCATGACAAAAGTTTGTATGTTTTCACTGGTCCCTATCATTTAATATACACAATCAATGGTAAATAAACATGGTTAGTTCTAATTTAATTTTTGATTATTCAAAGTTTCTACACAATAAGACAATCCAAAGTCAAACAGGGCAATGAATACCCGAATAACAACGTATCTCGTCCTGTGATTGGAATACCATTCGCCAGTCCTTTAGGTTTAGGGAAGTAGTGCAAGTCTATATATTAGGGGTCTGCGGTGCACCGAAAAAGTCGGTACAGTACAGTACAAGCTTAATTACCGTCATCGGTTCGGTACAGCTTGGTACAGCCAATTATAATAATAAATTACTTTCAGTTTACTATCGTAGTCAACGACAGTTGGTTCCCCCAGCACATAAAAGTCTTATCAGATGTTTGTTTACGATCTTCATAATTTATTACAAGGGTGATGATGCAATAAAAAACCCATTAGCAGTCCCAAATCCATTAACATTTTATCACGTCAATAAAATTTTATCATGACAATAATTGTTGTATTCAAGTACTTCCAAGAATTGTTGAGTTTTATCACTTTTATTGCTTTACGACTTTCCCTAATTCTATTTTATCATAAATATAATAGTTTTATGATGACTGTTAAATGTTATCTCTAACTCAGTCAGTATTTTCGTGAATATTCAATTTTCCGCTGGCCATTGCCTACTGCCATAAAACTGTTTATGGCTACATATTAAACTAATCTACAATCTTATTTTATAAGTTAAAATTTTGTTATAGATATTTTATCTTTCTATTGACGAAACCACAAGCATTGTTGTTGTTGTTTGCATAATTTGTTTTCGTTTTTCAAGCCTACTCGGTCTCAAATTATGTCATTACATGTTCTGTATCTTGTCTTATATTGTTAGATGTGGCTGTTTAAGGCTTAAATGTTTTTTAGTTTCCTATCTTTTTAATTGTGTTGAAGGCACTTCATGCAATCTAAATCTTATGAACTAGATACTGATTTTGCTACACTCATTGTAACCTAATCAATTTATATATAGGCTCTCCTAAATAATTAGGTCAAGGCCTGGGTCTTTTGATTCTTTGGAACAGCTTTAAAATATACTAAGAAAATTGGATTGAGCCTGAGATAAACTAATGATTGATATGATTGATATTGTGGATGTTAACTTTGTAAATGAAAATAAAATAATCTTACTCTGTGATAATCCTAATTTTAGTTTCAGAAAAAAACTTTGCAAGAGTTGTATTCATCTTATAACTAGTTTTGAAGCTGATAAAAAAAGTGCTCTTTGCCATTACTTCATCATTACCTCCAGTTTTTCATTGTCGTCTGCTGTGAACAGCTGGCAACTACACTGTCATTGTACTGAATGCTTTAAGGCCCTATATGTTTTTAAAAATAAAAAAAAAAACAACTATACATTGTGTTGGTTGGAAATAATTTACCAGTTGTGTGAAATTATCTTGTCAATAAATGTTTCAAACATGTTTATTCCTAAAAACTCTTATCCTATTTTTAAAACCACTATTATCATGGCTATTAAAGTATCTCAGAGTAAAATAGGTAAAGCCTTTATCTTAACTGTGATTTTTCTTGACACAATCCTCGTAGTAGTAAAAGGTTTTGTTTTAATAATGTGTGGTACAGTAATTGTTGTTAGAAAACCATGAATGATGTAGGATACTATCCATTTCCATAGTAATGTAAATGTATTAAAGTTAAAAATAATGGTTTAAATACAGTTCTGAGCAGAAAACCGCAAAAATATGGGTAGCCGCGTACCGTACCGATTTTGTACCGAGAACCGAGGTACAAAATATTGTACCGTACCGAACCGTACCAACCTTAAATTTTCTGTACCGCAGACCCCTACTATATATAGCTTCAAGGTCGTACCTGCCCCTTCCTCCCACCCGTCCTACTCGACTCACTGTTGCTACTCGCGCTCCTTTCGAGGTCATTGCCCAACCCCTCCCACCCTTCTATTGTGTTGCCTTTCTATTGTTTCTATTCAGACTTTTTTCGGGAAACATTACCTAAATCTATAGTTTACGTAACAGCACAGAAGTAGGCTAGATTTTTATACTTTAAAACAGTACTGTAAAAAAAAACTATTACCAACGCCCCTAGTATCAGGAGAGAAGCACGAGTTGACTTTCATTTGACCATTGTAGTTCTTTTCTGCTTTCTGTCTGTTCGTTCCAGATGAATCTAATCGTAAAGCAAAACAGCTGATAACGACTAAACTAGATATCGGTATTGCATCATACGGCTTCTTTGTCGTTTGCTGTTACGTCGTTGGAAACGTATCGCTGTAATTTTGTCCTGGGAAACTAATGATGGTTATGAAGATTTAGTATTCTGTCCAAAACGTCAAAATATGTTGTCTATCCGAAAAGGTCGAATATTATAACGGATAGTGTTGGATATCAAATTTGGGCTCAAATTTGGATATCCGTATCCGAACCGAACCGAATCCGACCCGATTTTTCGGATATCCGCACACCTCTAGTACCTATACTAGAGGTTGGCAAGCGGCTTGATTTTAAATTACAGAGAGCAACTGCAAAAATTAATTGCACAATAAAAAATTCATGAATTTGGTGTAATCACGAGAGGTGTTCTTATCACATTTAAGACAGACAATGATGATATCTGTAACTTGGATGATGATCTTAAAATATTGCTGTTCACCGTAAAATACTGCAGGAGGGGTTCCCTATTTTGACCATGTTCACAGGAGTTGTTAATGTAGACTACATTATGAACCCATTGTAGTATATTTTTTTTTTTAATCAATACTTTCTAAAGCAACCTGATTTTAGCACAAGTGCCAATTCAACATTTTTGTTACTCGACCCATGATAAGTCCCTAAGTAATAAAGTTTAAACTTAAAGAGATTCCATAGAATAACAATTTTACTTACATTACATGGAGCACAAGGTTCACCACACTTTTTTTGACACTTAGAATGGCAACAGCGGTTTTGACAGTTTTTCTCACAGGGTGGACAAATTTGCCGACAAGGTACTGGACAGCTGTAAAAACATCAATAACACACAAACTGAATTCAAAATTGAGGAAGCTTTTGATCTATACAATTATTTTCTCTACGATAAAAAACTGAAGTGCTCAATCATAAAATTTTAACAAACAATACTGCACTATTTCATTTTAGCAAAGTCTGCAGACTTCATCTTAATTATTTTACTTTCTATTAAACTTCCACTAAACAAAATCAATTTTATTATAAGTTGCAAAACAAATTCTCATCAAAGTAAAAATATTCAAAACTAACATTTACATATCACTCCATTCCATTATGTTTTGTTGTTGCAACATCTGTCTCTCTCACTCTCTCGTCTCTCTCTCTCTCTTTCTCTCCGTCGGCTCTAGCATTGACTATACACTCTAGTCCTAGTTGGTCTGCTGGCTGACTGCTTATTCTGCTTCTGCTTTGTTTTCCCATTAGGCAGCTGTTTTGCAGGGTGACGTTGCCATATTTATCATTACACCATTATGGTGAATTTCGGCAAAATTATCATACAATTGATGTAGCTTTATTCGTAAACAAAAGTTAATAGTTTGACTAATTTAAATCATGTTTATTTAAACTCATTAGAAAATTATACTTATAGTTTGTTTACGCCACTACCACAGTTGTAAAAGTACAAAAATTATTGTCCATCTGGCAACACCGCGATTGAAGTTTCAATTGAAGTCGAACTTAAGATTGCGTCATTTGATTCCGATACGTCAATGTTCCTTGCAGTAACATATAGACTTCTAAAACTAAAAACCAATACCGATTATGATGAAAAAATATTATGCAAGCTCATTTTTATTTGTTGTATTAATATATTTTGGTAAAAAAAATTTTAACGGCAATTCAAACTAAAATCTATCACTTTATAGTAACTTCAAGAATCATCTGCCTATAATTTACTTATCACGAGACTCCCTTGTTGACTATCGACTAATGTAACTCGATAGATTCTTTCAATGCTTTATTTTGTTTAACTTACTGTATCGTTATCGAGACGTATTGTTTGACTGTTGTAGGACAATTAAAGTAGTGGTAGAGTCAGTAGTCCTCTTGCTAGCTCTGCCGAATGACGATGGTTGTTTGTTGAACATTTGGTTTACGCTGAACTAGCCTATATATGAAGTTAGATAGTTGTTTTTTGTAGGAATGGGGATTAAATAAGACATCATCACGAAAACAAATATCATTTATTAAATATAGGCGTAGAAAATCGTGAAGTGGCACTTTTTATAACTACTCGACTCGGATTTTCGAGTAGTAGTTACTACCACTCGAGGTCGAGTATTTGGAAAAAGTCGAGTAATTACTCGATGGTCGAGTACTCGCCCACCCTTAATTATATGCCATTTAAATATCTTGAATTCATTCTATAGAGTAGTGAAAACAGCAATACTCTCATTATTTAAGTTATAGCCTAGCGAAGACGGACCCAGAACGGGTGTGATTGCGGCGTTGCCAGTTCGAACGTCGCGGTCTTGTGTTAGAGGTGGCTGTGGTAACACTCGTAATTCGGCGTCAATAGGTTAGTGTGTTTAGAAGAGTTAGAACTTTAATTGGCTACCTAGTTGGAATTTTTCATTCCTGCAGTATTTTTTTTTACTTGAAAAACACCCAATTACTTAAAAAAAACCTTATGGAAAGACATAAATACAGAGTAAGTGTAGTATAACCAATCCATTCAGAAAATTCCATAAAACTTAAAAATATTAGTATCGGTGTCAAGAATTGAAATTAGATTTTTTATGTTTCAGTATCGATATTAAGAATCAATAAATTTTGGTATCTACACTAATGTTAATTAAGTGGTTTAAGTATTTTTGTTTGTATTGTAAGCTGTTAAGCTGTTGGCTTTACAATAGCTTAATTTTTTTTGTTTGAAATACCATAAAGTCCCTATAAAAATGTTTTGGAAAGCTTCATTTTGCAATTTTGAAGCAATCTCCCATGTCACTTCACTATAAAACACTTGACTTGAAAAAGTTCACAGTATGAAATTGTTTTTGAAAACTCTACTAAACTCTTAAATTTACTTCTCGCACACCCGTAAAAATATCATTGCGATTATGGTTTTGATTTAAAGTTACTTAATAAAATAGTATATTTTTGAGAAATTTTATATTGAAATTATTACTGCAGTGACAAACCAATTAATTCACATTACTTCGCTCAACATATTGGTGAACCATGTGTTAAACGTATGAATGTGTAAAAGTGTTGGTGTAAGCACTACCAAGTTAAGAACCATATTGATGCCGTTGTAAAACCAGTTCAGGAAACGTCCTTAATGGACTGTTGCTACCAAAAATAAAGATATTAGGGAGGAATGTATGATATTGCATTACAATTTGGTAAATTTGTATTCACCGACTCTACGTTCTTATAAAAATATTTTTTAATGCTAGTCAATTGACACTGGCCACTGCAGTGTCTAATTTAACTAAGAGTATTATAAAAACTACCCAGTTAGTATCCACCTGAAGGAGTTACAAATAGACGGGGATACAACTTGACGAAGATACAAGTTGACACGGCTGTACAAGCCGGGTGCGCCACCGTCAAGTTGTATCCTTCCTTGTCTGCGGCAAGTTGTCTCTGGGTTGATACTCAGGAAATACCAAATGTTTTATTAAATGGTCCATACCTGTGGCCACATATCAAAGTGTTGTTGCAGTCCTCATCACACACCTTGTGGATGCGGCCTTGCAAACACTCTCCACATGTACCACTGCAGCGATGGCCACAGCTCAGTTCTTTTAAGCAAGGTTCACTGCAAAATTGTAGCAACTCTTCATTGTCATAACTGCTGCCTACACAAATATAAAACTTTATTAGAAGAGAGTGTAGAAAACTTACAGGAATACCATATTTTGTATATAAAAGCTTTGCCAGAGTTCTATCCATCTTATAAGCATAATTCATTTTTAAAATGTCAAGTAGGCTAGGCTTACTGGAGAATGTGTTCCGAAGGTATCTGGGCTATTATTATTAGTATATGGATTACAATCATTAAGTTAGTTTATAATTGTAAATGTTGACTTCAAATTAATTTTTCCTTAAGTTATTTATGTAAGCGTGTAAAATGTATATACTTTTCTTTATTTTATGGACTTTCATAAAACTGCTTAGGAATTTTACTGGTTGATTCAAACCGTTTATTCTACAAATAAATTATTATATAAAATTAAACTACCATCGAACTGGATTGTTTATTTTTCCTTAATTTTGTTTCATGGTGCTTAAATTAAACCGCACACTTTTTTAATCCCTTTCTTCTATAATCTTGGTGTGAATAATTGGTGCGTTTTTGTCCATTCTTTTTTTTCTCTCCCATTTGGAATATCTCGTTAGTCACCAAACATTTTAACTCGTACACACTACTGCATTCATTTTCTCACCTTAGTACAGTTACCCCACTTGTAAGAGTACTAAAAATAACACAAAAACGTCCGATGTAGATCTTTTTAACCGTACTAGCTTTTAAATTACAACTGTTGACCAACCAAAAGCCCCATTTATTTCAGTTTACCATTGTAGGAGTGGACCATGTTGCAGGGAAGGAGAGCCCCTGTGTGTCCGCAGGGCAAGGTTAGTGGTAGTGGTGTTGGTTGCAGACAATCGTCTGATGTACACTGGTCTCGGCACTGCTTGGTACACTTGTGTCCACACTCCAGCCGCACACAGCACTGGCCCTTGCAGTGTCTCTTGTCAGGAGTCTCGCTGCAAGCTACTCGCACCTTGTGACCACACAATGGTACTGTCTTCTCCACCTGTCAACACACTGTCTCTGAACCACTTTCTGTCTAATCTATATACAGATTACTCTTGGTAATTCAAACACTTGATAAATCAAATTCATTTGCTTGGTCCAACAATTAGAATCATCATGAGTCTACTGCATGTTGTATAGCATTCATAAGGAACAACCAGTTTTGAGAAAACCATAAGCCTGACTGACACCTATCAACCGTATACCTAAAAGTGAGGTCAGGTCTTGGTGACAACTTCTTTGGATATACCCTGATCTAAGGGCACAGACCCTTATTAAAGGGGTGTAGTTGTTTTAACCCTTCCTGGACGGGTGACGGATATATCCGCCTAGGTCTTTGGCGATAAAGGACGGGTGACGGATATATCCGATTACGGTTTTTGATGTTCCGGACGGGAAGCGGATATATCCGCCTTCTCTTCAGACAGACTGGCAGGTGCTTGAGCAGTAACCAGATGTTTCGCGGTACTAAGGCGCCACTTTCCTGCTCTCTCCATGGCTGCGCTCTCTCCCGCACTCCCCCCTCTCTCCCGCACCTACCCCTCTCCCACTCCTCCCCCTCTCCCGCGCACTACCCACCTCTCCTATGCTCCCCCCTCGACGTATCACGATCAACACTACGTTGTCTTTATTTATTGTTTACATATTGTTCTTTATTTATTGCCTACATGGTCATATCTTCAAGGACGGGTGGCGGATATATCCGCTGCTTTTCTACTCATCCGCAGACCGGTAGCGGATATATCCGCATATTTAAAAACGAGTAAAATAATTATTTTGACAGTATGAAGTGTTCCATTGTGTTTATTTTATGTATACTTGTATAACAAAACACAAATTAGGAAAATTAGTTTTTATTTTTTCCTAAACTTTTTTCCCGTTTTATGTCACGATTTCGCCCGTCCGGGAAGGGTTAAATCATATTATAGTGCCCTTATAGTGCTACAAAGTCGCTGACAGTGCCATGCTGTAAAGTGCTAGGGGATTTTGACCAAATAAGCAAGCTCTTAAAAAAAACGTACCTCTCCATTATTTTTTAATATATTTTAACATTTTTTGTCTTTAACATAAAAATGCACTTAAGCGAGTAATGCTTTATCTATTATTTTTACAAATAAATGGAATCTTTTTTTTATAAATGAAAAAATTGTCTCAGTTTGAAATAAAATAAAAACTGGAGGATTTTTTTACAATGATTATTGATTATATGGTTACTACTTTAAGTAGGATACTGTTGTGATCATTTTGATAAAAGAATTATGCCATTACACGTCAAACAATTTTTTTTTATTGCAGAAAATAAGCTATCCATTACACTCTAGCTAGGCTATGGAACAAAATCACCAATAATGCACTTTACATTGGAGTTGTTTTGGTTTTATGAAACCGATTAACTCACAAAACTACACAATAACTATATACAACTAAAATCACTACACATATTAACTTTGGAAAATAAAATATTAGAAATATCTTTGTTTTAAAACAAACAACAGCAAAACGTAAAATGTAATTTGTCGTCGGTCACAGCGTCACTGTGCACAAGGAAACGAAGAATTGAAATGCAAACAGCTGACCACTAGCTACAGTAACAGAGAAAAATGCCCAGTGATCGATAATTTGAAGCCTTTGGAACATATTGATGCATTAACCAGCAAATAGGTCCACTGCATCGATGCGTACTATACGAAATACACATAGTCGCTTTCAGCTACACTTACACTTTGAGGTAAAAACAGTTTGACTTTTTATTCTTTTTAGCTACAAATTTTATAGGAAATGTTTGTTCAAAGTAGAGATGGACAGGTCCCGAAATTTCGGGAATTTTTCAGGAAAAAAATATTCCCGATTATCGGGACGGGATTACATTTAACTCGGGAATTTTTCGGGACGGGATTTGGTCCGATCGTCGGCGATTTTTCCGCTTCGCGAGTGCCGATAACGCCGTTATTGCGAGCGATAGGTCCGCGAACGCAGGAGACAAAGTCATTTCAACGATTACGCCGTGACCGCGGAGTCATAACGACGATCGCGCCGTGGCCGCGATTATTGGACCGACGATCGCACCGTGACCGCGAGTCATAACGACGATCGGGCTGTGACCGCGGAGTCATACCGACGATCGGGCTGTGACCGCGGAGTCATACCGACAGTCACGCCGTGACCGCGGAGTCATAACGACGATCGCGCCGTGACCGCGAAGTCCTACCGACAATCGCGCTGTGACCACGAGTCATACCGACGATCACGCCGTGACCGCGAGTCATACCGACGACCGCGGAGTCCTACCGACGATCGCGCCGTTACCGCGGAGTCATACTGACGATCATGCCGTGATGGCGAGTCATACCGACGACCGCGGAGTCCTACCGACGATCGCGCCGTTACCGCGGAGTCATACTGACGATCATGCCGTGATGGCGAGTCATACCGACGATCACGACGTGACCGCGAGTCATACCGACGACCGCGGAGTCCTACCAACGATCGCGCCGTTACCGCGGAGTCATACTGACGATCATGCCGTGATGGCGAGTCATACCGACGATCACGACGTGACCGCGAGTCATACCGACGACCTCGGAGTCCTACCGACGATCGCGCCGTTACCGCGGAGTCATACTGACGATCATGCCGTGATGGCGAGTCATACCGACGATCACGACGTGACCGCGGAGTCCTACCGACGATCGCGCCGTGACCGCGAGTCATACCGACGATCGCGCCGTGACCGTGAGTCATACAGACGATCACCCCGTGACCCGCGAGTCACAAGTTTCAATATGTACCTGTAAATTGTTACCCATTTTTTGGTTTTTATAGATCAGTGCCACAAATGGTAAAAATTGATTTCGTATGTCTTTTTTGGTAACTGCAATACAGTACTTTCTTTTTATGCACAGAAAAAAATTCCATTTTATGCCATTACACGTCAAACAATTTTTTTTTATAACAGAAAATAAGCTATCCTTTTATGCACAGAAAAAAATTCCATCCCGTCCCGTCCCGAAAATCGGGAAGGAAATAAAAATCCCGTCCCGTCCCAAACTAAAAATCCAATCCCGTCCATCCCTAGTTCAAAGTAGTGATGGGTTGGTACTTAACGTCGAAAGTCGGTTCCACCGGTTCTTGGGAAAAGCACCGGGACCGAGAATCGATGGTGAAATGTCGGAATTGATACCTTCGGTACCAAAGTTAATGGGTTATATTTTTGTTTACTCATTTGCAACATTCAAATTGTCAACCATGATAATTATTTTTAGTTAAGGCTATTTGAAAGGGCAAATTTATCATGAAATATTATCAATAGAAGACTATAGGATGATTATTTCAGTGTTAGTTCGTTAAGTTGTCGTCAGTATCTTCGGCTGATAGAGTGGTGCAAACAAACATCCATACTTTCACATTTATAATATTAGTAGGATTAAAAAATTGTCTATGGCTGTCTTGGAATGATCAGTTATTCCTGTTGGAAATGTGATAAAATATTTTATATTATTGCTTTTTAGAACATATTTTAGGTATTTGTGCTTATTATACATTTTCAATACATGAATGTGTTTATATCTCCTCCAATCTGGTTGTTTTTTGCTAAAAAAGTGAATAAAAATGCTCCATTTGAGCAAACAATTTTATATTCTGAACTAGGGGATCTATAGACACTAACAACTATTAAGAACCTAGACCATTGTCATGATTGAGACATCGGTCACATAATGTCATCCTCCTCAATTCTAACAGAGTGTGAAATTCTAAGAGTGAAATCCGCAACAATTTTAGAACTCACTCTTTGTGCTCAGGCCTTTAATAATGATTCTCTTCAATCCTCTTATTTTCATGCAATGTATATTTTTAAAGGTAGGTAAAGTAGTAGAAAAAAATGCTATTGATCTGCTAAAAAAACCAAAGCTGTTATGAACTATTAAGTCAGTTCTGGATTTGGATGTTTTATGACAAGAGGCTAAATTGAAATTTTTTTCTAATGCGAGATAGTTATAGGATTAAGGTTTTAACTTTAACCCATCTTTTGCATAAAAACACAATACAAAATACCTTAAAACAGAGTGCATAGAAAGCAGATTGCTAAGTAATAAAACAAATTGTTTTATGACATAATCATTCAACAACAAGACTCACTTTGATGGGACAACCAGTACATTCCTCATAGCAGGGTAGTTTGCACTTGTGGCCACATGTCATTGTACGTCCACATTCAGCAGTACAAAGCAGGACAGTATTATCACACCTATATAAACACAGATTAAATCTTCTATATTTAATAGGCCAGCATGAATTCTGTTATATTTCTTTTGAAGTTGCCACACAACCAATCACCATGTCCAAGGTGTCATTGGATAGGTCGTGTGGCAGGTAGAGTTGCCAATTGCCATCAAATAAAAAATGTTTGAAATTGTATCAGGGATCTGCCCTAGTGGCCTTTTACGTTCTTATGTTTTCCTTATGGACACGTTTGTTTATATTTGGACAGATGAATACGGTACTTTGAAATTTACATTTATATTTGAAACAGCTGATTACAATTCAATTGTTAATTTATGGAAACATATGCTATAAATTACAAAGATAGATTCAATTGATAAAATATAAATACACTATTTTTGTGGTTTAATTATGAACTTAGGACCGTGACACTCGCTACCTGCAGCTTCTTACCTTGTGGTTAGTGAGTGACCACAGGGTAGAATCTTGACCACATCCATATTACAAGGCTCACACTCTTCAAAGCACAGCAACTGGCAGCGGTGCTCATTTGTGGTACAGCCTGGTGGACGTTTGGCACACGGCTTGCGGCAAACAAACTGTATAACACCATGAAAGCATTATTCAATTTATCTTTTACCTTAATATTTAAAATTATAAATATGTACACGAAAGGTTATAGGCTAAATATAGTCCTTACTGAAATATTGTTTTGTTAAAATATTCTTATTCTAACTAGATCAGTAGCAACACTGTTAACAGATTAATACTATGTACTTGCTGGACCGTGTTTCTCCTTTGATGGCTCATCTACACACTGAGACCTTTCTTTAGACACCCCTACCAAGTTTCACCCTTCCCGGACGGGTGACGGATATATCCACCTAAGTCTTTGGCGATAAAGGACAAGTGACGGATATATCCGCTTATGGTTTTGGATGTTCTGGACGGGAAGCGGATATATCCGCCTTCTCTTCAGACAGACTGGCAGGTGCTTGAGCAGTAACCAGATGCTTCACAGTACCAAGGCACCACTTTCCTGCTCTCTCACGCACTCCCCCCTCTCTCACGCGCCTACCCTCTCCCGCTCCTGACCCTCTCCCCTCGCACCACCCACCTCTCCTACTCTCCCCCCTCAACGTTTCGTGCTCAACACTACGTTGTCTTTATTTATTGTTTACATATTGTTCTTTATTTATTGTCTAACTTTGTCATGGTCATATCTTCAAAGGCGGATTTATCAATTTTTATTTTTTCCCATCATTTTTTCCCGTTCTATATCACGATTACACCCGTCCGGGAAGGGTTAAGTTTCTACGCCCAGCCGTTCTCTCAAATTAGTTGCCACAAAAATTATAATATATATTTAGGAATAGGGTTCTGATAGAGGGCTTTGATAACCGGGGCTCGAATCGTCTGTGTGTTGTGAGTTATCAGGTGACTAATAGTTTGGTTCTTGTTTACCTTTTAATGTTTATGTTTACATGTTGAATTGTTTGTTATTGTAGAGAGATTGATTTGTCATTTTCAGAAAAAAAGAGAATGTTTGTTTTTTGTTGTTGTGATTTTTTAAGTATAAAATATAAATACAGTAGGTTGTAGAAAAGCACTGAAGAGTTTAAATTTCTAACAAGCTATTTTGGCAGTAAAACTATAAACATGTCTGGTACCGGTACAAGATTTTTGGGAAGAATTTGATTTTATTACAGTAAGGAGTAATTAATTTCCAAAATCAAAGGCTTTCTTCAACAGTTCTAAAAGGAACATGCTTACCCCTGTTATGATGTTCATTAAACAAAAGTTCTGACACTTCTTTCTGCCAACAGGGACTTTGGTTTTTTCAATTAAACAGTGTTCAAGAAAATATCATACAAAAGAAAAAATAATACACAAAACACACTGTATATATCTTCTAGAATCGTATATAAATTATATATTTAACAACTTCAAAAAATAGTAGGTAAAACTATACCAAGGTACTCCATTTTAAATGTTCAAAATGAATATATAGTTGCAGAGTACCTTGAGATGGTTGGGATCATCGTTGACGTGGCAGATTCGTTTACAAGCGTGGCCGCAGTCAAGACGGTACATGCAAGGTTCTGGACATATCTTGTAGTCCTTGCGGAAACACTCCACTTGCACCTCATGCTGGCATTCAGGGAATCTTACTTTCACCAGCTGTTTACATTGCAGCTCACTGCAACATTTGTAAATATTCATTTAAGCTGCAGAAGCTAGGAATCTTGATAGGATTAGTAGCATAATAGAAAAAGTCATCGCATTGACCGACCACCTTGACTGGTACTCTAGACTTTGCATCCATCCGGTTGTGTTTCATCATTCCTTACCACAGTTACCGTTTTGTTCGTTTTAATTGTGTTAAATGTTTCGTTTTTACCATTTTAATGTCCGTGTTTGTGTTTGTGTTTTTATGTACTTTGTGTGTAATGTCAACCTTCATATGAAGTGACCACCCTTTAGACATCCTTGACGCCTGAAGATGACTTTATAGAAAGTCAAAACTAGTTGCGACACCAGCAACAATTAGGATTACTACAAAGCAGGTATTTACACCAATTTCATAATAGAGCAAGATCTTATAAGGGAGGACTATCTCTTTCCAGCTAATTCATAAGGGAACTATTAGGACTCCAACCTTTTTTTCCTGCCAAAAAAATATGCAATTCCAGAAGAACTCACATTTTTCAAACTAATTCAGGATTAGACCAATTTGGATATGCAGAAATTTGAATATTTTGATATGCCTTCAAAATTAAGCATAAAAACATCACTATATATTTAAATACACAGCAAACCTGCAGACTAAGCGAATTTCCATTTGCCTGATTGGATTCACTCTAAAATGCCTCCTTCCTTAAAAATATCACATTTATTCCCTATTTAAATAGAAACAAGAGGTTCTATCCGCGAATTCACGGGTGTACAGAAGCCTAAATTAATTTAATCAACTTTGACTTTCCCTATTTCATTTAAAGGGCCCAAGTTCGAGAAATTGTCATCTGAAAGGATGTTAAAAGGCAGTGGAACCTTCATACCTTACATCTAAGGTGGCCGAGGTGGGTATGGTTGTACCTGAACTCCCGCTCTCTTTCACGACGTCTTTAATACTTTACTTAAATACTTTTCAATGAAATGGCGACTTGTTAAAGATCGGTGACAACCTCTTAGAACGTTAGAACGAACAACAAACATGGTTTTTTGATCTAATTTTCATTGTGTTTCGAACACCTTTAATCACTCACTTGTATCAAACAGCTAGAAATAGCTCCACTGTCCATTCACCGCACCTCTTTTAAGAACATAAAAGTAAATCATAAAAGTAATTGCTTTTGTAAGGTGGTTCCTGATTCTCTGTCTGTGAAGTGTTTCATTGTGAATTTTTTGTGTGGTGATGTATTCTGACTGTGAAGAATGTTTTACAAATTACCTTAAGTAGTTAACAATAAAAAATGATTATCAATAGGATCCTGACTCAAGAAATGATCATTTGGAAACAGGTTAAGGCCAATACATTTTTTTTTAACTTTTGATACCATTACGTCTACTACATTATTGGTCTTAACAATGTGTCAGTGACTAGAAAATAGTGTAGGACTGATTCGCTTAGTAAGCAAAGCTTTGTTAGTCCCGAAGATCAACCCACCATGGGTTTTACAACTAATAAGATTGTCTTTTACAAACATTGGTCTTTCACAAACAAGCAAGTTTTTAAATTCAATAAACCGGTCACGTACTCCAATATGTCTTGCTTCATTTCAGAGGTGGAACCTAAAATATTCAAAACATTCTCTTCTTCATCTAAGTCTACAGTCGCGCATCGCTGTACTTGGGTGACTCATCACTGCGGCCGCCATGTTGGATAGGTGCGAAGCGTTGAAAACAGGCTTCACTCTACCGTTCGGCATGCCCGGTCTATTTTAATTCTCTGGTCGCTGCTTAGTCGGCAGGTTTGCTGCGGCAGGGGTGTTTCAAAGTTTTTCCAGGTTCCCGCATGAATGTTTCCCACATGAACATTATATTAATTCTCACATAAATGTTTAGTTCCACTTAAACTACAACCAATTTAACACGTTCAGTGCTGACTACATCAATTGATGTAGTCGCGCCACGAGCGGCCAACATCAATTGATCTAGTTGCGCAACCCCCACCACATTAGTTCAGTATGAGCTCAGTCATTGCCAGGGAACGTTAAAATCGTTACTAGCCTGTAGCTTAGAATGTGAGCTTTATTTTAGTGTAGGTTGGTACTAAAATTTCCCGTAAAGTCCCGTCTGACAATTATTTTGTCCCGGTTTCGGGGATTTTCTCTCTTCAAGCCACATTACAAAGCCACTGACTACTGATCCAGGCAGTGCTACTACCTTTGGGTGTTTTAGGGAACTACGTCCAATCTCGGGGTAATGTAGTACAATCGCCGCTGCTCTTTTGTTTTTCATCAGATTGAAATATTTGAATGCCAATTGCGTTCGCTGCTACGGTACCGCGCCGGGGCTTCCCCCAGGCCTCGCCGCCATTGGTGAGCGCCTGTTGGAATGCCTGCCGCATTGAACGTGTTAAGACTTGCAGCTTCATACATCATTATACATCGCATTTGTATATTTCTAATTGTTTCAAAGTTCAGTGAGCTAGTGTTAAAAATAATAATCCTTATTATAGTAATTATTTTTTTGTTATTCTTGGTTTGTTGGCTACTCATCACTAAATTAAAATTATACACAATTTACTAAAATAATATGGAGGTATATTTCGAGTTTTCATCAAAACTCCACCCTCTGGTAAAAACATCTCAAGTAAATAAACTATGATTTATAATGTTTGTTTATAAATTAACATATGTTTGAATTATTTTAAAATTAAATTAGTAGGGAAAAATGTTATGTAGATGTCACAGTTAATTTATTATTGTTTTTCCAATTTTAATTTTGTTCTCAACCTCTTCTCGAATCAAAGGTATAAACATGGGGCTGATTGAAGCACTAGGTTGGGATATGTTTCTTTTATCAACCACCACGCTAGCAGCTTCTTTAAGATTTCTTAGTTTCCAGTCTGCTTCTTGGTAGATCATAGTCGATTCAGTCCAATGTATTCTATGTTCTTCAGAGAAGACATGTTCAATAAGTTTGGAATAATTCTCCAAATGGTTACTAATGCTCTTCTGGTGTTCTTTTAGTCTCTTCTCCATAGGTTGTGGTGTTTGTCTGTAGTAATTTCTTCCACATTCACAGGGTATTTTATGAACTATATTTTTTGTGTCTTGATCTTTGTTCTTGAGCTTCATCCTGGCCAGAAAACTTCTCAATGTAGGTCCAGAAAAGAATACTGTTCTTATATTAAAGAATTCTTATATACAAATTCTTATGCAAAAGAAGCATATCCCAACCTACAATCAGCCCCATGTTTATACCTTTGCTACGAGAAGAGGTTGAGAACAAAATTAAAATTGGAAAAACAATAATAAATTAACTGTGACATCTGTATTTACTTGATATGTTGTTACCAGAGGCTGAAGATGGGTTTTGATGAAAACTCAAAATATACCTCCACATTTTTTTTAGTAAAAATTGTGTATAATTTTAATTTAGTGATGAGTAGCCAACAAACCAAGAATAACATTGATACTGTAATGCCTTAAAACACAAAAAATTCATCTCTCTCAATAGCAGCAAAATCGTGAATATTATCTCAATTGTTCATGAAAACATTACCATCAGCGGCAAAATTCTGAATATCCCATGTAGAAATCTAATTCTGGCCCAGGTTCTGGCCAGTACTGGTACAGTACTGGGCAGTACTGCTACAGTACTGGCCAGTAATACCCAGGTTCTGTCCAGTACTGCCCAGGTTCTGGCCAGTACTGCCCAGGTTCTGGCCCAGTACTGCCCAGGTTCTGGCCCAGTACTTCCCAGGTTCTGACCAGTACTGCCCAGGTTCTGGCCAGTACTTCCCAGGTTCTGGCCAGTAATGTCCAGGTTCTGGCCAGTAATGTCCAGGTCCTGGCCAGTACTGGTTAGAACCTGGACCAGAACCGGCCAGTACTGGCCAGAACTCACCAGTACTGGCCAGAACTCACCAGTACTGGCCAGAACTTGCCAGTACTGGCCAGAACTTACCAGTAACTGGCTAGTAGTTGTAGATTCTAGACCAATAATCAATCTTGACAGAGTACAGTATGTAAATAAAGGAACCGAGGTTAAGGTAATAAAATACAGATATTTGAAGTAAAAACTAGTCAATTAGTTAAACCTATATTTATTGAAAAATTAAGTTTAAAGCAAGACAAAATTTATAGGCCTACATGTTTAGATAATTTTCAAGGGTAAAAACTGTTACCGGTACCATCAATAATATCGACTCAACTTGAACTCGCTCCCCCCCCCCCCCCACCATGGTTTTAAACCTCTCTGGATTTGGATCCAGTCCAGTTAGTCCAATTGAAGGTTTGGGTTTGGCAATGGCTTTGACCTTTGACCAATGAATACGAATACACAATTTAACGTTTTTTTAAGCTCAACGCATCGCCAACAAAAATCTAACACAAGAGGACAATAATTAAGACGAGGACAAGACAGAAGTGAGAAGAGCAAAGACGAAGATAACTATTTTTTTTTGTACGAGTTCCATTCCATTCCAAAATCAAATCCGATCCAATCCAACGTGACGCACGCCGGAGCGGAGCGGAGTTGTTACTAACTAACCTCAAATCTCAACCTGTCAGTTGGTCAGTTCAGTTTTGGTCTCGACATCTTTATTAACAGTTAATTTCTAACTAAGGTGTTCTTGTCTTAGTTATATCTTAATATTAATCGTAGAACAACGTTCTACCTAATTTGCTGTGAAAAATATCTATTCGTGTGGAATCAGAATGGATTATCGACAAAGAATCAGGTCGAACTTGGCAAACCATCAGGTTTATAGACAACTGAGTTCACAGGCCTCATTTTAGCAAAAAGTTGTAAGTAATGCACCACAGGTTTGCATAAGTGTCATATTATTAAGTTGTCATATTAAACTCATAATATGCCTTAATGTTGAGGTGGCTGTTAGGTTTAGTTTTTATGTGTCCAGTACCTAGTATAGGCCTAGGTAAACTTTAACTTAGGCCTACCTTATTCAGTGCAACAAAATAAACTAGCCTAGGCCTAGTTCCAATTTTAACGATTTTCTACTCATTGAAGTGTTAAATTTGGAGTTGTGAAGTATTTAGTCAGTATGTTACTTCATTATTTGATCTCACAAATTGTGTACGGTACGGTAAGTTTAGGCCTTGATAGCCTAGGCCTATGACTAGGCCTACAAGTAAAGCAAACCTTGATTGGATTTGTAAATTAATTATGAGATTCGATTGCAATTAAGTCAATTTTTAGTACCGGTAGCCTAACTTTTGTTCAGCGTAGGTTCCGTTTGGGGCTACATTTGGGTACAGTTTCCGATTGAAACTATCAAATGGAAAATATTGATTAATAATCGATTTTGAAATATATCTAGGCCTATTTTATAATTAAACTATGATGACCTAACCTAACCAACCAAACTTGCTGATGGTGAAAAAATCGCATGAAGGCTTACTAATCGAATCGATAGTTTCAATCAATATTAGCATAGCCCAGTTAAGAAACTGTACCCGCCTACTTAACTTATGCCTAGATCAAAAGTAACTTAGGCTTAAACATCAAAATGCAAAACTACCTAATGAATAAGTTAGAGCCTACACAAAAACATTGTTTTTCATTTGAATGGGCGGCTATTTTTATTCACAGATTGTTTCGTTAAGTAAGTTATCTTAGGCCGGACTAACTTAACTTAACTTGATGTTTGGTTATGTTTGCTGTTGTATTTTATAATAAGAAGCCTACTAAGTTAGCCCTGATTATGTAAATAATATGATAAATAGGTCTTAGCTTAAGTGCTAAGGTAGGCCTAAGGCAGAGAACCCATGATGGGTTACATTAACGGATTAAATATTAAAATAGTCTACTTCGATATAACTTAGGCCTAACTATCGATTAACATGTTTCAATCGATATAAATATTGAATTTCAATATTGATTTTCGTTTACAGTAAGTTATGGCGTTTAGGTTAGGTTACCTACCTAGTTTAGTTTATGAAACTTATTAAAAAACTATATGAATAGGCCTACAAATTGATGTCTTTGTGATTGTAATCTGTTAAACAAACCAAAGTAATATCAACTCTAATACCTACCAACAATTTTACTTTGATTGCTACTATCATAAACTAAACTAAAACAACCTAACCGCCGCAGAATGTGTGGAAAAAGTCTTCTTGAAACAACAATATTGATACAATTGTTACAATGGATATTTACATGAAAGCAAACTCATCCGATACAATATAACTACATTTTTAGAATATAGTAGGTTCTCTACGGAACTGCACCCTTGGAAGTGCCAACATGAAAAAAGTACGGTAACAAGAAAGATAGGCTACCTATAACATTTTTTTTGAGTCTTTTTATTTTAAGTCCCTATAACTGAGTATTTAAGTAGGCCTACCTATTTAACTTTATTTATGGCCTTTGAAATGATTTTTCATTATACTTATATAAGTTACGTAGCCTATTACAGTAAAATTTTAAGATGGCCGCTTAAGTTAACCTGAATTGGGATAAAACTAGATTACCTATTAGGTCCTATATTGATTCTAAATTGTGTAGGCCTATTGCCAGGTTATTTTACAAAATCAAGTTTTAATTCGATTATTGAGATATGTACAATCTCATTTCTATTCAATATAAATATAGCGTAGCCCGCATTAGGAACTGCGCAGCTTATGCGGCTATACATTAAAAATAATGGAGTTGTTCAAGTCTGCACATGTATACATTGAAAGCGAATTAGCCCAAACTTAAAGACAACCCAACATAAAGGCCAAGCTGAGCTCTGGAGATACAAATATACTTACATCAGCTCACCATTTTTTATAGTTGTAACTTGTCTGTTTCAGGTAAAAAAACTTTATGACAACTACTGTACTACATTTATATTCTAAAGACCATTGTGTTAATACTATAAATCTGACATTATTAATTTGATTAATAATTATAACCCCGACAAATTAGATTCATTGGATATTTTGATTGTTTAATTTTTTACATTTTCAATATAAAATTAAATTTAGTATTGTAGGGTATTATCAATAGTATTCTTTTTGGTGATTTTACTTTTTCATACAACTTTTATTGTAATTTTGCAAAAAAATAATTTATTACCTAACCTTAATTTTTGTTAACATAATTTGTATTTTAGCATATGTAATTTTCAAATACAATTTGTTTATTGCTAAAGGTGTCTTATTAACCCTCCGAGTGTCCATAGTTTAGGCCTTAATGTCCACCTATTTTTGGCCCCTTTGCAAGGTTTTATTAAAACGGATCTGAGAAGCTTAAAACAATGTCAATTCTAATGTTCTATATACCATTTTGTTTGGAAAATCATGGGCTTCAATATTATATATAAAACATAAGGAACATTTTTTCAAAAAAAAAAATTTTAGGTAAAAAAAAAATATAATTTTGAAAATTTTCAAAAAAAAATAAGTTCGCGCTCAATGAAATTGTATAAATTATAGGCCTATAAATATTTGAAAATAGCCACTTTGTTCTAAATTTAATGAGGATTACAAATATATAATCATATAGCGAGGTAAGTTATCAAATAAATAAGTTATGAGCGAAAAACGGATTTCAGTACATAGCGTTTAGCTAAGAATGCATAGCCTAACCGTAGCTAGCAATCTGGCTGATAATTTACATCAATATCACTACCTACTTCTTCAGGATCATCAACCAGCACTTCAAAACCACTTAAATCTTCTTATAATGCACCACGTATATCACTACTTTTGATTTTTAACACTAAAACAATGATAAACGTAATAAAACACATCAGTCATCGGTCCGGGGGAACCTAGCTGTTTACAAATACACGCACGTCAGCTGTCTGCTACAATATTTTCGGAACTAAAATGAATAGCGCTTAGAGACAGACCTCTGGAGAAAGCTTAGAATATTACGGAAAGAACGATACCTAACTCGATCCAGTTCAATCCGATTCAGTCAGTCATAGAGCCTTCGCCGTAAACGATGTTTGTGCGTCATAAAAGTGACGCGTGACCCTACACAAAGTGTGTTGTGCGTCATTTTTATGACGCGTGACACTCGGAGGGTTAATTCATCTTCCATATTGGTTCAATTCTCACTACTGTATGATCCAGATACTGGTCCAGTATTGGCCAGGTTCTGGCCCAGTACTGCCCAGGTTCTGGTCCAGTACTACCCAGGTTCTGGCCCAGTACTGCCCAGGTTCTGGCCCAGTAATGCCCAGGTTCTGGCCCAGTAATGCCCAGGTTCTGGCCAGTACTGCCCAGTACTTCCCAGGTTCTGGCCCAGTACTTCCCAGGTTCTGGTCCAGTACTTCCCAGGTTCTGGCCCAGTACTTCCCAGGTTCTGGCCAGTACTGGCCAGTTCTTGCCAATTTTGGAAGTGCCCAGAACCTGGGCCAGAAAATTTTTTTACTGGCCCAGAAAATTTTTTTCCACATGGGATCTCCTTCAGTCGAGTGGTCAACTCTCTTGGTGACGTAAACAAGTAACAACTACATTATTAATTGCTATTAACTAAAGAAGTATTATTTTTCATCAAAGTTTATAAGGACCATAACATCTTAAATCAAACTCATTGTTACCTAAAAAAAAAAAGAATGTTGACATTCATCGATGAAGTGCTAACTCCCTAAAAAGGGTGTCAGCCAACAAAAGCTTAAGGAAATATGACCTATTTCGAAGCTCATATCCAAATTTCTCTTCAATTTATCGCGTTGGAGGATTCTGACTTAAAAGCATCGACTGGTTTATGTATACACCAGCTTCTGCAGCTCACCATTTGGCAATTAGGCCTAGTATCAAAAGGGGTAAGATTGTTTTACTTACTTATATGCCACAAAGCAGGGTAAGACGATCTGATGGCCACATTTCAGAGTCCTGTCCATTGGAATGTTGCATTCACCACAGTTTTCAAAACATTTCTTAAGGCAGGGATGTCCATCAGCACACAACAGTCTAAAAAATCAAAACAACCTTCACTTTGGCAAATCATCAGTTTATTGAATAATTAAATAGCAGAAAAAGAACAAATTCACCCATTTGCATCAGACTATTTATTTACCAAAAATCACAGTATCACTGGAACATAAACAAAATACCTCCGCCGCAGCAAACCTGCAGACTAAGCGAATTTCCATTTGCCTGATTGGATTTAGACTAAAATGTCTCCTTAAAAATATCACATTTATTCCCTATTTAAATAGAATCAGTTTAACACATAATTAGGTTTGCTGCAACAGGGAGGGTAAAAGTGTTTTTTTATGTAAAATGTTAATAGTTAGTAAGAAATAAAAACATTTTCCAAATTTGGGCAAAATATGTTAATAAACAAGCACACTACAACGGTTTACTTATTCTCCATAAGAATAACATGGGAATTTTAAATTAACAATTTTTTGGAATTTTCTCCGTAACCATTAGGCGTATTATAACGCTTCAATATACTAAATTATTTGTTTTTTTAAGCTCTACAAAATAGTTTGGAAAGAAATTTCAAAATTTTATGTTTTTTGTGTCAAAAATAGGAAAAACCCATTTTTACCGCATAAAAGCCCCCATAAACCCCTGTTCCCATGGTCCGATCATGCTGGTTCGCGAACTCGTTCGAATAAACGTAGGTTTACACGTTTGTAGCAAATTTCATCAAAATTGGATCGTTTTTGCTCGAGTTATCGCGCTAACGGACACATATATATATATATATATATATATATATATATAAATATATATATAAATATATGAATTTGAACGGATGGTGGTTTTGGCCTCTAGGGACCTCAAAACGAAAAAAAAAATCGGTCCCGGGTCCAGGTCTTACCATGAGTACTACGGTAATAGCTTATTCCCTATATGGGAAATTCGCTAAAATTAAAAATATTAATATTATACTATTTGTTATGATGTTTTATAGTATGTTATAGCTGAAAATACAAATAAAATGTATTTGTGTATATAATTTTTTATTTTATATCTATATTTATATGTATTTAGGGTGGGTTTATACTATTTTAAAAATATATACTTCTCAAAAATGAATAAATGAATTTATTTCCATTGAGTACAAACTTATTACATACATAGACAGTATTTGGAAATTGACTGGCCGCTTTTCAAGTATGCATATAGTGCATACCTATATGTAGTGCATCATGATATTTTTTCACATTAATCGGTATTGGTGTTTAGTTTTACAAACCGATAAGTTACTGCAAGGAACATCGATGCATCTGAATGACGCAATCTCATTGGGTCTTGGCAGAAAGAAAAGATCGTTTGAAACACTTTAAACTCAGTGTTGCCAGATGGACGATAATTTAATTTTTGTTCTTTTACAACTGTGGTATTGACGTAAAGAAACTATAAGTATAATTTATTTTCTAATCAGTTTACATAAACATGATTAAAATTAGTCAAACTATTAATTTTTTTACGAAATAAAAGCTATAGCAATTTTATGATAATTTTACCGACATTCACCATAATGGTGTAATGATAAATATGGCAACATCAGCCCTGCAAAACAGCTGTTTGATGGGAAAACAAAGCAGAAGCAGAATGAGCAGACCGACTAGAGAGAGGGGAGAGAGAGAGAGCAGATATGGTGACAGCTGGCCAGAAAAAAAAAATACCCCCGCCGCAGCAAACCTGCAGACTAAGCGAATTTCCATTTGCCTGATTGGATTTAGACTAAAATGTCTCCTTAAAAATATCACATTTATTCCCTATTTAAATAGAATCAGTTTAACACATAATTAGGTTTGCTGCAACAGGGAGGGTAAAAGTGTTTTTTTATGTAAAATGTTAATAGTTAGTAAGAAATAAAAACATTTTCCAAATTTGGGCAAAATATGTTAATAAACAAGCACACTACAACGGTTTACTTATTCTCCATAAGAATAACATGGGAATTTTAAATTAACAATTTTTTGGAATTTTCTCCGTAACCATTAGGCGCATTATAACGCTTCAATATACTAAATTATTTGTTTTTTTAAGCTCTACAAAATAGTTTGGAAAGAAATTTCAAAATTTTATGTTTTAGCGAATTTCCCATATAGGGAATTTTAAATTAACAATTTTTTGGAATTTTCTCCGTAACCATTAGGCGCATTATAACGCTTCAATATACTAAATTATTTGTTTTTTTAAGCTCTACAAAATAGTTTGGAAAGAAATTTCAAAATTTTATGTTTTTTGTGTCAAAAATAGGAAAAACCCATTTTTACCCCATAAAAGCCCCCATAAACCCCTGTTCCCATGGTCCGATCATGCTGGTTCGCGAACTCGTTCGAATAAACGTAGGTTTACACGTTTGTAGCAAATTTCATCAAAATCGGATCATTTTTGCTCGAGTTATCGCGCTAACGGACACATATATATATATATATATAAATATACTAGCTGACCCGGCGAACTTCGTATCGCCAAAGTTATAGGTTTCCCCTAAGACAGACCGATGGAAAGAAAGTACCGTTACGTTTAATTTTCAAGATGATCTCGTTCGCATCGCTCAATCACGTCCTGGTTGAAGTTCGTTCGCTACGCTCACTCACCTTTGGGTTGGAGCTCGTTCGCTGCGCTCACTTGCCTTCAGGTTAGCTCGTTCGCTACGCTCACTCGCCTCCAGGTTGAGGTTCGTTCGCTACGCTCACTCACCTTTTGGTTGCAAATTAGCTGTTGTCATAAATGTAAAAGAAATATTAGTGCTGCACCCTGTTGGTAATCCTTGTAACTTTAATGCTATTGAACATCATAGAACAGAACCCACTTGTTTAATTGAAACAGCTGTTAAGATTCATTAATTCCATTTCTCATAAGGTTAACATGGGAAACTCCAGAGCCACTGGGGCGGAGCCCTTTTAAGAATTTCGAAACGGGAAATAGTTTACGTCCGATTCGCATACCTACAGAATTTACACACCAAATTTCATAACGATCGGTGAAGTCGTTCCGGAGGAGTTTGCAGACAAACACTGTGACACGAGAATTTTATATATTAGATATATATATATATATGAATTTGAACGGATGGTGGTTTTGGCCTCTAGGGACCTCAAAACGAAAAAAAAATCGGTCCCGGGTCCAGGTCTTACCATGAGTACTACGGTAATAGCTTATTCCCTATATGGGAAATTCGCTAAAAATGGATTGGAGTGATTGAAATTATGTCAATGTCAGTTTTGAATGTTTTTACTTTGAAGTGAATTTGTAACTTAAAATAAAATTGATTTTGTTAGTGGAAGTTTAATAGAAAGTAAAATAAACATATTCTGTTTGTGATTTTGACTGTGCAATTTTCAATCTGGTGGCAGAAACATGACAACTACAGTTTGAATTGTAACTTAACCTAGAAAATGTGAGGTTATATATAAAGAAAGGCCAAATAGGCTATACCGGGCTACAGTGAAATGTGTTTTGATTTTAAATTAAGTGTTTAATGTGGGATTTTATTTCGAGATAGGCCTAATAGGCCTACTATGTTTTTGTTTGATATTTTCAGTCTGTCAGAGACGAGTGACTTGATCATTTTTATAAATGTACTGAGTGAAGAGGATAGCCCTAGTACCCATAACATTCAAACTTCAGACAGAGATGAGTGCTTATCCAACTTATTACCTATTTTAAAATACCTAATTGCATATTTATGTTTTTAACTTGTGATACAATATGTAGTTTGATATAAGTTTTCTGTTAAATAAATAAATTTATTTTTATAAATTCTGTTTCTTATTTGAATTGAAATTATTCTTAAAGTTACCGTATTAAGTTAGTTAGTTAGGTTGATTATCATGTTAGTGAGGAGGAATTAAAGGCAAGAAAAAATAAAACCTAGGATGAAATTTGTTCAAGCAAAATGCTGCAAAAACTCTGCAAAGACAAAAACTAAGTTGGCCTAACTGTAGAAAAAATATTATTCATTAACTTAAGCATTTAAAACAAAAAATTCCAGTAGGCTAATATTTACATTTGTTTGAACATTACATCTTTCAATTTTATTTGTAGAAAATTTGGCATAGGCCTAGCCTGCAAAACAATGTAAACTTAGCATTTTTAAGTTGTGAATAGCAAGATGCTAAAAATACTACCACAGCATAAACCCTGGGCCTAACCTACTTCACGCGCAACTACTCGACTCAACTCGATACTCGAGTTTTTACTCAAATACTCGACTCGAATTGAAAAATCACTACTCGCCCACCCTATATCATTATAACGTCATCTTTAAGCGCGATCGGGCAAATTGAAAATTCCTGGTAAAATACGAAAATCACGCATAATTCCCGGTTTTCCCGATCGGTGGACACCTTGCGGAAACGTAATCGTCGTTTCCCGAGGTAAACTCATGAGGCAAATTCATGAACATTTTCCACAGCCATGTAGACGCCATCATCGTTTTTGCGGTTGAAAAGTTAGACAAAAGTATGACTTCCAAAGATTTTTTTGCGTGCCTCTTGATATAAGACTAGAGTAGGCCTACCTTTTGCAAGGTTGGCTGCAGCGGTATTTGATGTGTCTATCCTTGCTGACATGACAAAGACTGCGGCAGACATGTCCACAACCTAGCTGCTCCCTACAAGGTTTGCTACAACCTCCTTCCATCACAGCATTGAAGTCTGACGGGCAAACCACACGAGTCAGCTGATCTCTATGAGTCTCACAGCGCAACACCAATGCTGGACCTGCATATAAAAACAACTGATTTACCTAAGTCAGCTAATGACTCAAAAAGTTCTACAAATAGAAGATTAGTTTCTAGATACTAAGTCTGACAAATACAAAAACCTGCTTACAAAACTACTAACTACTACATTGAACTACTGATTAACTGATCTCTTACTTAGAAGCACAATCCTTCACTTATACCTTAGGGATTAAGTTACAGTTTCCTTTAGAAGAGCTTTGATAACCTGACTCAGTATATTCCAAAATACTACTGGTACTCAATAACCACTTTAATCAGATGTCATACATTGATATTAAGATGTGTAGGTATGTGTATGAAAATGACATCAACATGGCAATGGAACAGCAAATAACCGTTAAGTAACAAACGTTTTTGTAATTGAAAAAATTATAACCTATTATAACCTAAAATTATAATGTACCTAAGTGAGGTAGATGTTTAGATCCATTTTTTTACAACTAGGGAATTATTGCTTAGTCAGAAGACAATGATGTCTCCATAATATATTGTTCTTACCAAAAATGATGATGAAAGACGATACAAAGTTTCAATATCACAGACCTATATTTCAGACAAGAAACGAAGAACCTCCATGAAAAAGTTTCATCTAAAGCTATTACCTATGAGAGTTAATTTATTTTTAAATAGCTCCTGTGATACTTCAGAACTGCTTGATTTCAAGCAATGGTGGGATTAGTATACAGGGTGGCTAAAAAGTAACTAGCACCTCACCCCCTAACTTTTTAACTGTTTCAGAAATAACAAATATGAAATCAGTTTGCGGCAACCTTCTTACATATGAGAGACTACAATAATGATTGTTGATTTTAAGCAATTTTCAGCAAGCGCAGAGCAGACATATGCCAGATGTGAGGTTAGCAGAAGCAGACTACTGTAACTTGTCAGTGCAAGCGGGTAGCTTGACCTTTGAGTAAAAATTTAAAACATATGTTTTCAGAAAAAGCACTTTATAATTGTTTTAATTTTTTTTACAAAATGTTTTTTATTTTTTTTATTTTATTGACATTTGAAGTTTCATAAAATAAATGTCCATGGTAATGCAATATCTTTGGTGGTTTTTAGCGAATTTCCCTATTACCGTAGGTGGCATGGTAAGACCTAGGCCCGGTGGTACAGGTAAAACTCACCTAAGAAAACATAAAAACTGGTCCATTCATGAAACTTGCAGGAAACATAGTACTTACCATTAGGTTTCGAAATCTGAAGAGTCCCTAGTGATTGTGGGGGTGGAAGTGCCATTTTATGGGGGTTAAAGATTATGGGGGTAGTGATTTTGAGAGAACATTTTTATTTATGGCATCCAAGCAAGTGGGGTGTCATTTTCTATGTTTTTAGGATGCAGAATCGGGAAAAAACATAATAAAATCAATACAACCAACAGTTTATAAGAAAAAGACAAATTTATTCACAAAAAATTAAATATGACAAATTAATTAAGGTAAAATAATCCAGTTAATACCAATCATAACAAAATTGATCATGAGTCTGAGTCATATGTTAAAGTCGTGAGGAAAATTAACCAAGAAACTGGTAGTTACGCCTCTTTAACCTTCCAGAGGTTGCATCACGGAAGTAACTTCCAGGACTGTTTTATTTTTCGCGATTATATTATTTTGAGTGGTGTCGGCAGTGTGAGTGTCACTGTAGGTACCTCACGCACCTCATTCCTAGAATAGAGTGAAGGTCAAAACTCACCCCTACTATTTTATATTTGTTAATTTTGTACAGCCTGGAGGCAACTTCCGTGATGAGACTTCTAGTTAAGTGTGTGCATTGATTATTGCATGTAAACAATTACTGTAAATAATTTTTTTTTACGATTCATGTCATTATTTAGTAAATATATAGTTTTTACTAGATGACAGAAGAAGTTAAATGTTGAATTGCAACACTATTAGCCATGCTGAAAGGGAGATTCACGAACAACATATGTACAGAGCCATTTAGTATTAAGATACCCATTATGTTAAATTACTTAAAACATCAGGTATTGAGAGTGTTATCAATTAAAACCACATTAGGCCTATAGGACATTGTGGTAAAATTATTCTTGAATATATTCTTGTAAAAGATTTCTGCATATACTTTTATGTTAGAACATTTGATAGAATAATAGTGTAATTTTATATTTATAAAATCTAAATTAAATTATTATACATTTAAGAGTTTACTAAACATATTTTTGATGTTTAAAATTAAAAATAAAACTTAATTTGTGCACTAAAATATAAATTTTACTTCATAAATGTTTGTTTTTATTGACCTGAAAGTAACCTCCGGGTGCGCCCTCTCCTGATTTGAAAACCAATGCGCCCTCTGAAAGGTTAACCACCACGTGTCATATTGTTCATCAGCAACTGATGCATAATCACCATCCATGGAATCGTCAGGGTCTCTAACTCGTTCTTCTTCATCCTCGTCTTGACTTGACACTGACAGCTTAGGAGTTGGGTTTTTAGAGTTTGTACATGCCCCTTCTTCACAAAATCACCATCAAGATGAACATTATTAATCCCACTAAATTACACACAGGAACATTGTGATGTTGAGCAGCCACTTTAACACGAACAAGATACTAATTTTAGTATTCTCTCTGGAGTTGGTTCAGTAGTTGTTCTGATTGGTTGCAAGTAGTTATTGTGTCTAGCCCAACCCCACTTTTATGGAAACAGCTTATTTCCTAGCCAGAGTTAGGATAACCTAATAATAAGTACTATGTTTCCTGCAAGTTTCATGAACTGATCAATTTTTATGTTTTCTACTAGTCTTTTAGTATAATTTTACCTGTACTACAGGACCCATTTACTTCATTTTGATGTCCCCAGAGGCCAAAAACACTATTCGTTCAAATTTGTATATATTATGTAAATATATATATATATATATGTCCATCCAGACGATAGCTTGAATAATTTTTGTCACATTTTGATGAAATTTGGTTTAAAGGTGTAAGGCGGGATAAACTTGAAGGAGTTCATGAACCAGCATGATCGGACCATGGGAACGGGGTTTTACGGGGGGTTTTATGGGGTAAAAATTGGTTTTTCTCGTTTTTGACCCTCAAAAAACCAAATTTTCCAAATTCTCTCTAGACCTTTTTAAAGAGCTTAAAAAACAAATAATTTAATATATAAAAGTATTTTTGTACGGTTATTAGTAACAGAGAAGATTAAAAAAAATTGTAAATTTAAAATTCCAACGTTATTCTTATGGAGAGAATTGTAGAATGTAGTTTGCTTGTTTATGGATATATTTTGATAAAACTTGGCAAAATTATTTATTTTATACTTAGCTATTAATATTTTACTTAAAAAAAAACACACTTTATTAGTTTCCATGTAGTAGCAAACCTAGGTAGTTGTTAAACCTAATGTTATTTAAATATATTTAATTGAAAATCAATTCAGACAAATAGAATTTTGCTTAGTCGGCAGGTTTGCTGCGACGGGGGTATTTATTAATATAGTATCATAGACTAAGCAACACAAGTAGACTTCTCATCCCATTGTAAATTTTGAAGCTTGTTTTTTGCGTCTAGTTCATGTACGTCCACACTGATCGCTAGTGTAGACAACATTTTGTTTCTATTATTTTAGGGTTATTTTCATGATTTGTGCTTTACTATTTGGTTATATAACTAGGAGACCAGTTATTGTTTATGATTATATCGTTTTATTAGGTTAAACGAGGTTTTAAATTACTGCAATAACAAGAAACAAATTGTAAACAAAACATAACCTCTATAGGCTAGTTGGACGTACAGAACTAACAATAAAATTGGCTTCAGCTGTTCCATTAGGATGACTAATCTACTAAGGGAGTATGTTTTATCTATGATAGTATCTTTTATGGAAAACCACAAAATTCTGTAACAACCATAGCAAACATAAAAATGAATATTTAAAATAGTTTATGTTATTTTTATAAATATGTTTTGCTGTAAATACATTTAGTTTTAGGGCCATTTTGCAATCAACAGCTTATCAAGCCTTTGGTAAATTTGGTCTTTCTAAAAAAAATCATAAACCCAACAAAATTTTTAAAAAAGTTAAAAAATCTCTATAAGTTTGTATAACTCCAAACAAAAGTTCCCGATATGTGAAATACCTTTGGTGGCGAGAGGTAAGCGTAAGCCCCTCAGGGAGGATGTGGGCCCTTGTGGCTGCCCTTCCCTCAAGACCGCTGTGAGTCAGTTAATCTGTACTGTGTCCTTTAGTCACAGCCTACATGGGGTACCACTGTTATCACTAAAGGCAGCGGATCTATGTTGGAAGAGTAAATGTCTGCCCTAGGGTCGGGGAGCAGCGACACTAGTATGACCTGAGGCCGAGGTGATGGACACCGGTTCGGGCTCAGTGTCAATGAGCAGCAGGCGGAGTGAATGGATCACGGTAAAGCTGCTGCACTGCCCTCCACTTTTGGTATGTGTGCAGCAGTGCTGGAGTAGGCATTGATGGGCGGAATGTATGGAACATGGAACGGTCTTCAAACTGCTAACTTGGTATGTTTCAGAAGCAACAAGAAGTGTCTGGTAATAAAACGACAGAAACCACCCTAGGTGGGTCAGCGCCTAGGCGTGAATCCCACCCTCCATCATGGAGGGCTTGCCCATGGATTCTGGGGAGGGCAAATTAACAGGCAATGTTTTGGAGAAGATGGTGGAGGGGGGGGGCGAAGAGGCTTTTGCCGGGAGCTCCCTCACAGTGAGATCTCCACCAAACTGCAGTAACGACATTCTAATGCTTGAGGAAGCACACAGGGCTGTGGGGGATTGTGTGGCTGACTCAAGTTATTATTCTAATCCAACCCTGGGCTCTATCTCTGAGGTGGCAACACCGGATCTGAGCATAAAGACCCAGGAATGTGCAACTGTTCCAGATCAGGAGAGAAGACAACCACAGCCACCTTTACCCTCCAGTGTGTAGAGGACACAGGTTAGGGCAAGGAAGGAGGCCGAGGGTACGTGGCTTTCAA